TTTTGTCCATGCTGGTGAAATGTGATACTTTTCATATTCTTGGGTTCTTTTGGAATCCAGACTTTTCACTTCCTCCACATCTGCTATGAAACCAAATATTGATTAATGTGACCTGTAAACCTAACCACTTAAGAGAAGCCAATGACCAGTTTCTATTCCTGGATTTTAAAGAAATTTCTACCATTTTTTCTAGTATCTGCCTTCATGTGTCTTTTTCAGTCCATGAACAGATTAAAGGAAAATTTAGTAAAGTTCTCAGCTCCATCTGAGGATTAAATTCCAAGCCTTTTGACTAACATTAACCTAGACCATTTTACTAACTTCCGGATAAAAATGTTTCTAACCTTGCCTTTTTTGTCCTATAAAAAATTACAATGTGATGAAAATATACAAAACCTAACCATCTCCAAAAGGAAGTTCTTATTTCTTTGAAAGACTTGTAAGTATGACAAACAATAATTAGCAATAAAACAAGGCCATCAGTCAGTGATTCCACAAGAAGAAAATATACTTAAGGAAAAAGAAATTGTAAGTCTAAAGGGTCTGATATTCTGACTTGGACTAGCGAAAACAATGCTTGCTAAAGACTTGGAGAGTGACTCTTCAGTGATAGGATTACTTTGTCCCAAACAGAGTAGGCTATACAAAGAGGCTCAGCATTAGAAAATTCCAGAAGGAGCTATTTACATAGAATACAATGAGACCCCAGACATTGTAGTTGAGCAATGAGATTGGAATGTATGCATATAAATGAGCAGAGGTCTTCCTCAAAGTAGTCAACTCTGTAAACAGCATACTTAATCCAAAACATCATCTTGTTCAAAACTTTGGAATTACCTTAACGTCTATGTTACATTCTTTGGAATGCCCTAAAAGCTGCAAATAATCCTTCAGTAATGGATTTGACATTTGTAAATTTAAAAAATGTTCAGGTACCAAATCTCATCTAAAGAGTACAACCTAAGAAAATATCATTTTGGGGGTTAAAAAAAAAGAGAAAAAATTCTGAGGTGTTTGGAATAATTTTTCTGTGTGATTCCAGTGACTATGAAAGCTTTTCCAGAGAAGATAGAAGAAGGCTGGGAGCAAAGGAAACCTCAATAGAAATAGCACGTGGCTTCCCAATCTAATTTTGAAGGTAACAATGTTAATTTGAAATATTTTATATATTTTTCCAATTTTTATTTTATTAGTACCACATGCAAAATCTAGTTTGAGTGCTAGTGTTGGGACCTTCCAGGCGTAAAAAATGGGAAGTCTTCCCAGGGGTAAAAAATGGGAAGCATGTGCTTTAAGGAGACTGCTTCTGACAATGTATAAATTAAGAGGTTGTTCTGGAGATTTCAGATGACAATGTAGATGGAGAATTTTCTTGGAAACGTCTCTGTCTTAAGGCAAAGTACTTGATCCCCTCCCCCAATTCATTTTGGGCTCATCAATACTAAAAATCTACATTCAATATCACCATTTGGCAGAAGGGGTGTCTAGGGGGAACAATTATGAGTTAACATGATTCCTAGAAAGCTGTATTTTCGCACTTCACCTGTTGATTATAGATAATAATTCTACACAAGATTTCCAATGGTGGACAAAAATAATCAATGGACATCGTTCTCTTGATCCTTTTGGTTTGATAATGAATCCAAGTATTAATTAAGGTGAACATGCTGGACTTTGCTGAAAAGCAGGAAAGCACCCTTGATTTTAGAGGGGAAAGCCACAAACTCTGTGGGAAAGTAAATAAAATCAGTCATTACCTGCAGCATTATTTCTTCTACCAACAGAGAAGCTCCCCTGTTTCCTAGTTTGCTTCTTTTGGAAACAAAATTTGTTAAGATTAGTGAGGCCAGGGTGAGTTGTATGGGATATATGTGTTCTGTCTGTCTTGTTTTGGCCTACTATTGTCATGTAACTCACAGGATCATAGGAGGCAGTGTTGAGTGACCCCTTTAATGTCTAGACAGATATTCATAATGAAATAGATGTCTGGCTCTTGAAGCTAACTTCTTAGTCTGGAGGTATTTTGGTTTACAAAGGCCCAAATAAGAATGGATAACATTGTCTTGGGTGAAGCCACAGAGACGAAGAGGAAAAATGAGCAGGGTATGTGGAGGGGGAAGGAGATCTCCTGTTGAAAGTTAAAGTGTTGTCACCTAAGGCAGAATACTGACTATAATAAGAATCCTGTGTGTTAAAATCATATCGACCTAGAAAACTTATTCTTTAAGTTCAACTTTCCCAGACATCCAAATAACCCGCCTTGATCTTCTTAATGCCCCAAAGTAATTGCAAGTTTTCTCAACAGCTCGTTTTCTTTTGGCATTCTTAGAACCCTCAATTTTTGCAGAAGCTAGAGCAAGCCTCTGGGGCTTCATGTTACACAGCTTCCATGACCATTTTATGCATTTCTTTATAAGGAAAGCCAGTTGGGTGCTTGCTTTTTTCCTATTCACTCCCATCCCTGCCTTTTGCCAATTTTCCATACTGTAGAATAACATTTGAAAGGCTTTTCTCATGACTACTTCTGTCTTTTAATGAAAGTGCATCATCCGTTGCTTGGGCAAATTTAATGACTCTGCTTTACCCACAAATGAGGGTGTAACAGATTAAATAAAGTTAAAATAGAGTGAGCAGAGATGGTAGGACTTTGTAAAAACTCTTGTCATTTTTTTTTTCCTTTTGAAGCCTTACAGTCATCTACCTGCCAGGTGGAACTTATTTTGATAATATAGCACAGATGTACCTTGTTGTACTCAACAGATGAATTCCTGAAAAGCTGCATTTGATAGAATTTTATAAATTGAATTACATTTTCCTGTAGACTTGCATTATAGTAACAGAAGCCATTATCCACATTTGACTGATTTTCAATTGGCAGAGGCCTCCAACACTTGAGCTTCAAGTTTCTCAGCCAAATCTCTGTGTCAAACAGTTAATGATCTGGAAATAATAAGCACTTATGTGAGCTAGGGGAGCACTATACTTAAAGGAAATTTGATTGTATTCCTCTGAAAGTAAAGAATCTCTATTGCATGGTATGAATTTTCACTCACGGAATCCTAGGATATCAGGAACGTTAGAGATGATGCAGACTAAACCTCTCTTTTTGCAGATGAGGGAAGTGAGACCCTGAGTGTTTATTTTTCGGTGGCAGCAGGTAACAATATAATATTAAAAAATAATATTCATGTTGAGGTTGACAGGCTTGAATTCAAATGTTCCCTTCCAACTGTACTAGCTGTTTGGCTTTGGGCAGGTTATCACAGCTTTCTGAGCCCAGTTTTCTCATCTTTAAGACAAGGACATTATGACCTACCTCTTAGGGGTTTTGTAAGAATTAAATGAGATAATGTTTATAAAGTGATGTAATACACTGCCTAGAATATAATAAGGGTTTAATGAATGTTTGTCATCTCTTCTCCCCATTTTATCTTCTTTGGGTTTTTTAAATATGCATTTCTTTTCAAATTACAAACATAATAATGCTTGTAGTTGAAGTTTAAAGAAGATCAAAGACTACAGAATAAAAAGCAACTTGTCCCTATTTGTTTGCCCATAGCCCCTGCCCCTTTCCCCAAACCAGTTTCTAAAGGAAAGTACTGTTGATGGTTTGTTGTTGTTGTTGTTGTTGTTTTGAGAATCCTGGTTCAGGAAAGTCCAGGAACCATATACCAGGAACACTATCCCCAAATGTTATTTGTGTATATTTGTGAAGTTGCCACTTTTCCTCCAGAGCTCAGCATGTGTTTATCAAAGTGTGAGGCTGGCAGCCAATAATATTCAGAGCAGGCCAGAGTTCTGGAGTTGGCCCTCTGTCTGTCAGCCATAATTTTTATGCCAGTGTAAACCTTTGCTTACTTGCTTTGGCCTGACCATCTCAAAATGACAAGCCCATCAGTAATGTGGGGAAATATAGAATGCAGCTCGCCTTAAATGTCAGTGGTGTGTGTTGGCCTGATGTGGATCCAACGCAATTGCCCTTTATAATTTGTTGTGTTAACAGGTAGAGACGATAAAGGGAACGGTTGGGGGCCACCTGAAGAAAGACCGGCCCACTGAGGCAGTGAAGAGGACTTGCTCCTATGCAGGAAGGAGGGGAGGCTAGGGGGCGAAGCTGGTGCCTTTCCTTTTCGGGTGGTGCTGTGATTCCACAAAACTGCCTTGATCTCCCTTCCATTCCCCTCCTCCACTCCCTCAGGTTTACCTCAGGGCCGTCCCATACCGTTTGTGTGTTACTTAACATCATCTGTCAGATAATCATAGTGTATTTAAATAATTAACCTAATTGTGGGTAATTGTGTGTCGGCACTGTGTAATTATAAAACCTAGCCTCCAACACTGTGGCACAGTATGTAGGCAAAGAGACACCATACATGCAAAGCAGCCACTTGGTGCTTCTTCCCATTCAGGAATTTTTCTCTTTTCAAGGTGCCAGAAAAGAAAAACAGACCTCTTTGTAAACCCATTATCTAGAAAACAAGGCTCTTGACAAACATGTTTGCAGAAAAACAAGGGGTTTGTAAAGAGTCTTGTGTGTTGGCACTGAAAGTCAAAACATGCAGGGGGAATGCTGTGTTGTTGCTGGAACTGGCAAAGGTTTTCTTTCATACAATGAGCAACAAGGGGGTGAAATTGTGATCTTGCAGCAGATTCTCTCATCCTGAGCAGTCCTATCGAGGGTGGCTTTGAACCCAGGTCTTGTATATGCTGGTATTTATATAAACTCATTAGCATGGATTTGGATGTGGGATGGTTCTTCCTCTCCCACATCATCTCTGGTCTCAGCCTGACTGCAAATGCTTCATACTGGTCATAATGGCAAACACATGTCGAGTGTTTAAATTCTACCAGGCCAGGCACTGTGCTGACCATTGACATGAAATAGCTCATTGAACCCTCTATCTTTTTTTAAATTTACTTTTTGATATTAATTTTTTTTGTAGAGACAGAGTCTTGCTATGTTGCCCAGGCTGGTCTCAAACGCCTGGCCTCAAGAGATCCTCCTGCCTCAGGCTCCCAACATGCTGGAATTACAGATGTGAGCCACGCGCCTGGCAAGAACCTTCTATCTTACACCACTCTTGTGGGGTGAGTACTGCATTTCTCCCCATTTTATAGATGAGAAAGCTGAGGCTTCAAAGGTTAGGCAAGTATACCAAAGTACTACAGCCAATGAGTAGCTCCACAGCAATTTGAACCCACATTTCTTGAGGGTTGCGTGAACCCAGAGCCCTTGTTCATGCAATTCCTTTGGGTTGAAGGATTATCCATTAGTGCATATTTATTTTAATATTTACTATTGGCTGGGCACAGCGGCTCACATCTGTAATCCCAGCACTTTGGGAGGCTGAGGCAGGTAGATCACCTGAGGTCAGGAGTTCGTGACCACCCTGGCCAACATGGTAAAACTCCGTCTCTATGAAAAATACAAAAATTAGCCAGGTATGGTGGCAGGCACCTGTAATCCCAGCTACCTGGGGGAGGCTGCAGCATGATAATCACTTGAACCCAGGAGGTGGAAGTTTCAGTGAGCCAAGATAGCACCACTGCATTCCAGCCTGGGAGACAGAGCGAGACTCTGTCTCGAAAGGAAAAAAGAAATTCACTATCGTGTTTACTTTCACTGGCTGCTTTCAGGGTTGAGGTGGAAATTAAGTAAAGACTGGTGTGAGTTGGGGCATGGGGCACAGCTAAAAGGACATAAGGGTGCTGGGGACACTGGGGAAAAACCCGAGGAAAGGATGCCGATAAAGTGTTGAAGGAGAAGGTAATGAGAGATGAAGAAAATCAGGTGTGTCAGCACCCAGACTTAGTCTTATACGTGCTAGAGAGAGCCACAGACTTCAGCAGAAAGTCATCTTCCCTGAGCCAGCACTCTTTTCTGTCCATACCAACTTTTAGAAAAGTCCTGGTACCCCCCTCAACAGATTGTCAGAAGATATAGGTTGAATGAATGAAAATCTTGGGTGATCGATAATACACCCACATGCCTACGGAATCCTAGTGCTTATGAAAATGAATAATTTTGATATTAAAATTTTTTGTAGAGATAAGAGTCTTGCTATGTTGCCCAGGCTGGTCTCAAACTCCTGGCCTCAAGTGAGCCTCCTGCCTCAGGCTCCCAACGTGTTGGAATTACAGATGTGAGCCACCGCACCTGGCCATCTGTAAGAACCCTCTATCTTACACCAACCTTGTGGGGTGGGTTCTGCATTTATCCAGATTAAAAGCAGATTAAAAACCAATACGAAAACAAACAGCACAGAAATGACAAATGCTAATAGGGATAATGTTGCAGCGAATGTGTTTGTAACTCCCCAAACTCACAAAACTAGTGAGTAGCAGAACTGTTAATAACACCTGGGTTTCCCAACTTTCTGTCCAGTATTTTTTCCATTACAGCTGATACATAATCTTATTAAATGTGGACTTCTTGCATCCATAACTACAGATTTATTGACTTTGAGCCATTGTCTTCAATTTATAATAAAGAAACTAAGGCCCAGAGAGAAAAAGGGGCCTGGCCATGATTATAACACAGCAGATAGGCCGGGCGCGGTGGCTCAAGCCTGTAATCCCAGCACTTTGGGAGGCTGAGGCGGGTGGATCACGAGGTCAAGAGGTCGAGACCATCCTGGTCAACATAGTGAAACCCCGTCTCTACTAAAAATACAAAAAGTTAGCTGGGCATGGTGGCACGTGCCTGTAATCCCAGCTACTCAGGAGGCTGAGGCAGGAGAATTGCCTGAACCCAGGGGGCGGAGGTTGCGGTGAGCCGAGATCGCGCCATTGCACTCCAGCCTGGGTAACAGGAGCGAAACTCAGTCTCAAAAAAAAAAAATAATAATAATAATAATAATAATAATACAGCAGATAACTGGCACAGCCCGGTCTCCTGGCTAGGACTACTTTTACCAATCCACAGGGCCTCATATATACCCAGAAAGTACCCTGGCTTTGTGGGCAGCCAAAACACTGTGAAAGTACATTGAATTGTTCTCCTACCTGGAAATTAGGACACATTTTAAAATATAACTTGGGAAGTAAAACATTGTTATGCCAAAACTTGCATTTAAAGATGGTTCCCCCATAGCACCAGAGAATGTTAGATCTGGAAAGGCTGTTAGAGAACAAAGGATCTACCACCCACATGTTAAAGATGAGAAACTGAGGCCCAGAGGAATTAATCTGCAATATTAGTGTAATTTGCATTATATTAATATCTCATCAGTGTCATTTGAAAACCAGGGAACAGCAGAAGCCTAGTAGACAAAAGCAAGTTCTTGGTCCTTGTAATGAGCAATTCTTTCCCACTCACAAATGCCCTTTTGCTTGGAGTACTTATAGCACAGATAAAATGAGGTTTCATAAAGGGACACCAGCAGGAGTAAATGATGCCCATTATCATTATTCCTACATGAAGGAAGAAAGACTTGGTCTTTATAGAGTATGCTCTTGAATGCTTGAGGGAAAGGATTCATACCAGGAAGGGAAAGCCTTGAGCTAAACTTCAAAAAGATAATCAGGGAAGAGGCAAGTTTGTGGACAGTGCTCCTGCAAGCTCTCTTAACCATATCACAGACAATGGGAAGCCTTCAGTGGTGACACCCAGGCTGGAAACTCAGAAGCCTACAGAACAGCAGGAACGTAAAAGAAGACAATGAAGAGTGTCTCATCTCATCATCAGATCCAGGGATTTTAGCAGTATTGGCATGAATTTTTTTTTCAAGAGAAGCTGGACAGTTAATTTTTAAAAATTAAAAATTAAATAAATGTATATACACACACATATATGTGTGTGTGTGTATATATATATATATATATATATATATATATATATATATATATTTTAATGCAGTGTATGTAGGACAAAATCCAAAAACAAAATTCCATATCTGAGGTCAGAGTTGACTGCTGGCCTGCCTCCATGTAACCTCAGTTTTGAAACTTAGCTGATCTGGCTAATCAGATCAGAGGTTGAGTCCTGGGTAGCTAAGGTAGGGCCAAAGAGCAAGGTGTGTGTGAGGTTCGTTTGGAGTCTCTGCAGAGAGTCAGATTGTTTTGAAGATCCAATTCCTCTTTCCCACCAGGAAGAAAATGCAATATATAGGTGATAGTCAGTGTGTTTTATAGAAAGAGAACTGGCTTGGGAGACAGGTGTTCCATTCCTGGTGCCTTGTTTTTTGTTTAGTGACTGTATTAGTCCGTTTTCATACTGCTATAAAAAAAACTTCCTGAGACTAGGTAATTTATAAAGGAAAGAGACATAATTTTCTCACAGCTCAGCATGACTGGGAGGCCTCAGGAAACTTAGAATTATGGCAGAAGGTGAAGAGGAAGCAAGGCATCTTCTTCACAAGGCAGCAGGAAGGAGAAGTGCTGAGCAGAGTGGGAAGAGCCCCTTGTAAAACCAACAGATCTCATGAGAACTCACTCGCTATCATGGAAACAGCATGAGGGAAACTGCCCGAATTATCCAATTACCTCCACTTGCTCTCTCCCTTTACCCATGGAGATTATGGGGGTTATAATTCAAGATGAGGTTTTGGTGGAGACACAAAGCCTAACCCTATCAGTGTTTTTGGGAGAATCATTTTTCTGTTTGACCCTGTGGTCTATAAATTAAGGCCCCTCTCCCTGCATTAACTACCTCACAGGTTTATTGGTGATCAAGTAAGACAATGCTGTAAAAGTATTTTATAATCTGTAACATGCTATACAAATAAGGAGTCTTAAAAATAATAGTACGTGACTTCAATGTGTTCTCTCATTCTAAAATAAAGTCAAAATGATGTTTATTTTATTCTAAAACTTAGAGCAATCAGGTATTATTAGTAATATCAAAAGGGATTATATTAAAGTTAATATTAAGATGTTAACATCTAGTCTAAGGCTTTATTGAACCTTTCAAACTTTTAGATGAAGTTTTAGATAAAGAAGTATCAAACTTAAGTGAAAGTACTTTCAATGAATAAAATAACTTTGCTCTCCTGACAATGCTGGAAAAGAATGGGGAATATATTCAATCTTCATAGAGAGATAAAAAAAAGAACACAGTTAAAGAGATATTTTGCACTGATCATATGAAGGAATCCATTTAGGATTGGTCTGTACCACATAAGTTTATTTTGTTTTAAATTAACAAAAGAAGGAAATAACTTTGCCTACCAAGTTCTTAGATTCCATTTCCCAAGCTGTAGCAATCAGTGTCCCAATATAAAACAGATGGTCACTCAAATGAGGCTATTTCAGGAGGACTTAGTGAAAGGATTATTACAAAGGTGTTGGCAAGAATAAGGAAAACCAACAAGAAACAGTGAAACACCTTGGTTCTATTAACAGCCTAAGGATTCAGAGTCATTACCATCCATATGTCCAAAGGAACAGAAATGGGGTAGTTACTGGAACCCAGAAAAAAAACTGTAACTCCAAGAGACAGTCATCTGATAAGAGCCATCATGGCTTTGGTAAAGAAACATGGCCACTGCTAAGTCATGATCTGATAAGATATGAACTGGAGAGATGATTACTCTGGCCTCTCTCTTCTCTCTTCCACCCTACCTCGCCTAGTCTCCTGTGGTTATCTCTATTGGCCAGATCCAACTGGAAGCCAGTGTACAGGGCACCCTGATGATACAGTTCATGAACATCAGCATCTCTGACCACAGCAGGGTGGAGAAGGATAGAGTGTGGCTCTGGAGGGACAAATGTGGGATACCCAGTGTAGAGGATCCATAAGTTGTTGATACCAGATGTGCTGAGGAGGTAATTTACAATCTTGGGTTTTGAATAAGCAGCATGCATTTCTCAGTTTTAACATTCAGTATCTATTAGGCATGGAAATTTTTTTCATCTAAGAAATTTTTAGGTAGAACCCATCTCTTAAATGGGTTAGAGTTTTTAATTCTCCAATTATGATTTTCCCATCTTGAAGAAGTCATTGGCCCTTCTGCTTGTCTTCTGCATAATAGGATACAAATATCTACCCAACAGGATTGTTGTAAGGACTAAACCAAATAGTACACTGGAAATAATTCAGCACAGTGCCTGGATCAAATGCTAGAGAGAGAAAATATTAGATCCAAAAC